AATGGAACGTTTTTTGTAATTTAATTTCAGAAATTGGAATTTAATCAATTTTAATCGTTTTTCTTCTTTTCTAGCTGATTGTTTCATTTTCTGATTATTGTTTATACAAAAGATTGTATTATTGCGCAAAGAAAGATTCTTCCGTTATTATTCTATGATACTATAATGGAGATATGTATAACGAAATAATTTCAAAAATGAACATATTGAAGCAATGATACAAAAATAAGACAAATTATACAGTTGAGAGAGGGATTACAGAATATTTAAATGTAAATAATGACCTTAGGTTTGTTTCAAACTGTTTAATATTGGTTAACTTTTACTTCAAAATAAAGATATACATTGTATGGATTGTCCCTACATATTAAAGGAATACATTGTCTCATTTAGAAGTAGGATAAATGATAAGATAAATGATATCACACATCAAATTATTTCATTCACTAATCTACTGGATTAAACTGTCCAGACTACTTTACTTATTAAAATAAATACTTGAATAGCAAGGAATTAGAATCCCAAAAGCCATGTAAATAACGAATATCTAATCCCGATTTTAAGCATTAGCATAATTGTAAACTTTCCTCAAACAAATTAGATGGAATTGAGAAATGAATTTGAAAAGTGAAATTGATAATTGGTAATACATATTATTGCTCGGTAATTTTTTCTCTTTGTTAAATAATTCAATTATTAATAGAAAAATAGAACACAGCCTTATATGCCTTAATTTTTTCTTTTGTACGAGTAACAATTAAATACAAAATGAAAATTAATAACATTAAATACAATAAAGTCACGCATTGCTGGAAAAATCATAATTCATTAACTCATTGACAATCATAAATTAGGTAATTAATTTCATCATAAAACCGATAATTATTTCTTGTGTACATCATGAAAAGAAAGATAGGCTCATACTATCTTTTAATAATTCAATCTTACTATCAAATTAATTATTCCTTATGACTGGCCATATGCCAATTTCAACAGTTAGATGAATTGAAAAATTAACTTTATCACTTTAACTGAAAATATTAACAGATTAATGATTGATGCTTAATTATTGTTCATTTTATTTCGTTGGAAAACATTTCGATAAAGAAATTCAAATATGTAGTTTTTTTTAAGAAAATATACTCAATCATATTTTGAATAAAATTTCATAATCTAATAAAGCCCATCTCAGTAATTAATTGATTCAGTGCAAAAAACTAAAAATAAATTTAAGAGAAAAAGAATAAAAAGTATATAATCTTTGAGTAATGGATATACATATATAATATTTGACATATGAACATTAAAATTGATTTTTTTATGTATTAAAAAATATGTAAAATATATCAGAGTATAAAAAAAAACTAAAAATACATTAGAATTCAAAACAAATGTTTTTTAATATTCATTTTTTGAGTATTAAAAAACATTTATTTTGACTTCTGATATATTTTTAGTTCTCTCACTTTTAAATTCCTCAAATCAACTTTTAAATATTCCAATAAATATTCCAATTTCAGCCTCAAGCGGCCATCTGCAAAGTTTCCATCTTTGCTTTTGACTTCCATTTTTGCAAAAAAAGAACATGAACCAAAAGCTATTGAACTGATAAGCGAAAAAAGGCGATTTTTGAATATGACTTAATTATATTTCAAAACAACAGAATTAAA